ACGAAATCGACACGAGAGGTTTAAGGCATTATGACCAAGGGGTAGTCGGAATGCATAACGCTTCTAGCCAACGTTTTCATGGATAGATTGTGGGTATTCTAGGAAAATAACCGCATTTGTCAATATTACAAGTTAACAGCAGTCGGACTGAAGTTCATCTAATTGGTTTAGCATTTCAACCAGACCAATACTTCGATAGGGTCACACTGAAAACAGAAACAGAGGAATTGATCTTCTTTCTAAATAATGTAATGTCTGAGAAGTCCAATGGTGTAATCAGAAGAAACAACTACATAGATCTTTTCACGCATCCTAATTTGGGCGTAGTCCAGCAGTAATCAGAGAGATGAACGATTGCACATCCAGGTTACCTTTTGCCTCCTTGGAAGGCGGAAGATGCTAGTGAGGTGAAGACCGTGTTCTGGGAGGACTTGCAGGAGGGAGATTTAATTGACGTCGTGCCCACCGATTTCGTCTCGACCTGACATCTTTTCACAGGAAACGCTGTCTGTACTGACATTGGGGTCGACGAGGCGAGTTAGTCCCCACCTAGGCCTGCCACCGCCCCCTCTAGTCCCCTACGTACATTGACTAGGATTTTGTACAACAATAAAAGGAAAGGGTGACAATTCGGGGCCAAGTTGACGCGGCGTGTGACCGAAGCTCGGCCTGTCGCCACAACCCCAATGTTGGAATTTGTCATGGGTACGCATTCCCGATAACGCCAGCCGGACCCCGATAAAGCCCCAGTGTTGGTCCAGCAGAGACGGTGACTTTTGCGTCAGTTCATTTATGGTGACGGTAGACTTTCACGGCATTTACAGCACTCTATCCGCCTCACAAACCTCGGCCCCGTGTCAAGACAGAGTCAGAAAAACAGGAGGCGTACCGCCAGGGGTACCACCACACTCTCTGGTTCACAACGTACACTGACCGGGATTTTACATACAACAAGAGAAGAGAAGGGCGGCTCGAGATGGGAGTGCCACAGATGCCACATTAAGAAGAAGATGCAATTGCTCTCGGCCCATCAGTCCGCCTCTCCACCCAAACACTCACTGGGCAGGCTAGGAGCTCCGTAAGTTGGCAGCATTCCAAGCCACGGCTTTTAGCGTACCGTGATAGTTTCAAGGGTGTCAGATTGTTCTTAATGGGGAGTGGGCGCTGAGTCGTCGACCTCATCCTCTCTTCCCATTCGCAGACCCCATTCACCGTCCGAGCCGTTTAGTTGACAGATGCGGCGAATGGGCTCGTTGACTCGGGACTGGCGCGGCCGAGGCCGCACCTAAGCGTGCCACCACGGAGTGGGAGTGCCACAAATGCCACATTAGGAAGGAGCCATTGCAGCCGGACTCTTAGACCGCCAGTCGACCGCTCTACACAAACACACAACACTGGACCGACTGCGATGTCCAGGTTATCCCGTCAGTTGGCAGCCTTCCAAGTCAAGAATTTTAGCTAAACGTGATAGATTCAGGCTCTTTAGACGGTTTTTATAGTGAGGAATATGTGCTGAAATCGTCGAAATCATTCTCTTTTCCCATTCACAGGCTCAAATCCTAACCGTAACCCGAAAACCTAAGCCTAAAGGCATAACCCTAACCCGAAAGTCGGAAACCATTAAGCGGTACCCTAATCCTAACCTCAAACGTTCAACGGAAGCCAAATGGGTCAGTTGTGATTATGTAACCCCACAAAATAGCCCCATTAAACAACCCTCCCCCCCAGCCACCTGTACTACGGGGCCTGGCTACCAACTGCGATCTAGCCGAGAGATCCCGGTTGCGGGAGATGTTTAAAGTGTTCATGTTCGGTGTATGTGCTGTTGGGGAATGTGTGGTGATGTGATCATGCCTGCAGTGATAAACCACAGATTTTCATGGAGGCACGTGTGACCGAACAGACCCATGCGATGACTGAATGGGCTAGGATACTATTGGCATTCTGGGCAATAGCGTCCGGTGTATGCTTGTGCTCCGGTAACTGGTTCATCAGCACTTGTGCGATAGGTTAACAAGTGACCGACCGATGCGTGAAGTGAATGTATGGTGACACTGTGGGCAGGATAGGTAGCGGGATGCTGGGCCGGTTGTCATTTGTGACGTTCCTAGTGGTGGGCGCGCTGGTGGATAGTTTGGGGATGGGCAATGTGTGCAAACTTTGTCAATAACGCGGTGAATTCCGCTGTTATGGACGTACATGTGACGGGATAGGCCCATGTGATGTAAGAGTGTTCGGGGACAGTCCGGACAGTGAAGGCGGATGCGGTGATTGCATGCGGGAACTCCTGGTACTGATGCGCCGGTCGTGGTGCAGTGGATTCGCAAGCGACTGACCAAGCCGATGAGTAAGGTGGATGTGAGAGTCCCCATCACTGAAGGTGTAGCAGCCGCTCCAGCCCCCCTTTTTTCTCCGGCTCCGTTTTGTCGGTCGATGGCCGCGACAAGCACTGACAGGCCGCTGACACACGACCTCCCCGTCGGCTAGAACTGCGACGCATCCTGTCCAGCTGCAGTGACTCCCGGCTGCCCTCACAAACTAGTATCACCTAACGGGCGTCGAACGCTCTGGCTTGATTCCCCTGAGGCCTTATGAGTATGCGCCCTCCATCGGTCCCCTAATTTGTCCAATCACACGACCACCACTCAGAAAGTCACCCCCTCCTGCTGACCTAGACACTCACACCCGCGTAAACAACACACCGCGACTGACGCTCTCCGTGAACGGACGCTTTTCTCTGTTGCAAGTAAACAGCCAACTTACGGCAACCTGCCCTGTGTACAGAATAAACTAGTCCTCACAGCTCCCTGACTTCTGTCATTAGACGAAACGAACTTATTGTGCGTGGTTTAAGTTGATCTCACATCCTTGACCGCCACAAAGGTGGAAGTGAAGGTTGACAGACCGTCGGGAGCGTTTTGGTGGGGGATGCGAATAAGAGCTGTAGGGAATGTGTACGATGTCGTCAGTTGTTGTCGCGTCAGCCAGTGATCCAAATCCCAGAACCAGATGGCTAACATGCCCGGACAGTGGACGGGTCCACGAGATCGGGAAGACAGTGAGCTCCACACCAGGAAATACACTCCAACGGCACATCAGAACATCCCTTACAACTACAAACATTGACGCACCAAAAGTCGTGGTTTGGAAGACTACCAACTGACGGGACAACTCGGTCCTCTCAGAACAGATAGTCAGCTCCAATGACCCCCCTTTGAATGTGGCCTCTGCGGCACTCACGCATGCGAGACCTGAGCCACCCTCATGTAAGCCTGATACATTCTGAGGGACCAGATCTTATGTGGCACGCGGGTGCGGACCACTTTATTTTATCAGCCACTGCGTGCGAGCCCGTCTCCAGTCGTCCTAACACCATCTTGTCACCGGAGCCAGATGAGTGCGGTAGATGTCGAGTAAGTCCGCCCCATTATAAGCTGATTCACGTGCAGGCCGCCGCCCTGCGCCCAGCGAGTCGTGGGGCATACGGTGGACATCAGCGTTCGCGATGGTCGAACTGTAAGAGAGGAAATTGAGAGAGGAAATGCGCTTTATTTTGAAATCGTAAGTTCAAAATTTTCAGCAAAAAATTGGCTCCATTCACTGTGGGTAGTAAATAAGTTAAGAGATTATTCAACAGTCAAAGAAACGATTATTATGGGGATAGTTCAAGTCTGAGCTTCTGTATTTCTGTCTCACGTAGCGACGAAAATCTGCATGACTTGTAAGTGATACTTTTGGAAGTCGGATAGACTATAAATGCCTGATAGTGTGATAAGCCTGATTTTACCTCATAAATGTTTGTCCCTAAAGATTGAACATGCTTATCGTTAGTGCTCATTTAGTGTACGGACAAGGCGCACTGCCTACCAAGAACTGTAGCGTGTGACCGTATCCTGATAGTTCGGCAGTGCATGGATCGGGCACGAATTGGGGGCCATGGTGAGCGTTTCCTGGTCACGAGTTTCTTAGTTTTCTATAATCTCTTCTTCGACAGACTACCAAAGCCTCAAGTTTGAAGCTTTATCGCCTTCTTTGTCTGAGGAAGTAGACTGTAAACAGCAAAGCATCAAAGGGTTTGAGGTTTTTGTAGTGAAAAAATGCGCTACAATCTTGGAAAACTGGACTTATTTTCTAATTAGGGAAGAACAGAAGCCGTGGGGGAGTTTAAAATGTCAACTGCAATAACATATTCATCGAGTGAACCCACACAGGCTTTGGAATCTTAGTTAATTAGCCCCAAGGGCCTCCGATTATGAGAAGACCTTCGTTTGCTTCGAGCCTCAGATATCTGCCATAGAACCGATCCCTTCGACCATTTTGTATGGATGAGTATCAAAGCAATACACAGCTCGGAAAGAGCCAACATTTGCTCGTCAGTCAGAAGCGTGGTTTTGAAATTGCTAAATTTCATTCTCAGGATTGCGAAAAGGTGTGTTCTGCGAGATTGAAATACGGACGATTTAAAATTATTAAGCAGAATACTACTTGTTAGTAGAAAGGTACACAAAAATTTTACGGCACACTAAATTGCTAATATTACACATCTTTAAGTAAAAATTCATAAATAAAGTACATTTTTACACGACAAAACATCTATATTTATAAGTTTTGGCCCAAAATTAGGTTGAAATGTTAAAACTATATTTGTTTAAAATAACACCACGAACGGCCATTTTGGAGGCCACTCGGCGTTATTGACCGCTTTATATCGATGAGTTTCGTCGGCTTGTCGATACGTTGCTCGGCATGGCCTGCGGTTATCGACGGATTATCGATCGATTGGATTTCTAAACAATTTCTGGAAGCGACTTTACCAAAGCCGTTCAATGGAGCATCGTCACCTAAATAATTCGAATGAAATTTTAGCTCACGGAAGAACTGTCAATTCGAATACACAAAAGGGATCCACACTTGATTCATTCTACATCGCCAACCCCCAAATAAACGCAGGAGTTATCGCAAACCCTCTAAACATAAAGATTTCTACCGAAGCTCTCAAGATGGAGCCTACAATGGATGCCCAGTTGGCAGGACTCCAGAACTCCCAGTGCTGTCCGATCACCATGGCGGCACTCCCTATAAGCGCTCTGGGTACAACAGAAAAGCTTAATCTTCAGGTTGGGGACTTGGAAAATATACCATTGTTCAACAACTTGGACGGACGGACTTTAGAGCTGCAGACTTTCCCTGGAAATAATCAGACTCTACAGGGTATACAGACGGTCAAGCTAACCCTAATTAACTGCGGCGACCAGCAAACAATACTTTTAACAACCCCTTCCGGTCCCTTTGGAGGTCTAGATCAGTCGACCGAGGGACTGACAATAACTATACCTGAGAATCTGCTGACTAGTGACTTGAATCTCTCTGGACTTTCTACTGTCCCCATAAGTACACTACCTGTCCAGGCGGAAGCAGAAATCGAACCTCCTGGTCCATCAAAGTCTGTGGGTTATACAAATCTGACCTCTCTTCCACCAATAACGTCAGTATCCGACAAGCTCTATGCACAGAAGCTCCCGACAGATGTTCAGACCGTACAAGGGGCCACGCAGACTTACGGTGTACCCGATTTGGCGCCTTTTGTTGCTACTAATGGGGAGAAACCTCGGATAGCTGAGAAGAGTGTCTCCAACACAAAGGTTTTTCCCGCTCCCACGGCAGAGTTCGCACCCTCCGCACCGCTGCCAATTACTATCAGCGTGTCGAACGAAGTCCCGTCCGTCTCTATGGTCGAATTTCCAAAAACTGAGCTTAAAACTTCGAGACCCATTACTCCAGGTATGTTTCCATTCTCTTAACTCCTGCTTAACTTTTTAAATTATATTACCATCCTCGCTTTTTTTCAGAACCTGCTAGCCCATCCAGCAACCAAGGAGAGACAACTAGTGATTTGAATCATGACGCACCGAGCCCTAGCCAAGACGCGACGGAGCTTAACACTAAGGTATTTATACGTCAATTTCCTGATTTGCATTAGGAGCTGGCACAAAAGATCAGCGAGGAGCTCAAGCGTCACAGCATTCCCCAGGCCGTTTTCGCACAGAAAGTGTTGTGCAGAAGCCAAGGGACTCTTTCTGACTTGCTGAGGAATCCAAAGCCATGGAGCAAACTTAAATCGGGTCGCGAGACCTTTCGACGAATGTGGAAATGGCTTAACGAGCCGGACTACCGCAAATTTGCGTTTCTCAAGAGTTCTGGTAAGTTTTTGGTTTTGAAACCAGTGTCTTCTGCAGATTTAGACACAGGTACCCTCAAACGCAAAGGCGGAGACGTGAAACCAGGTGAAGAAAAAGCTTCGAAAAAGCCGCGCCTAGTCTTCACGGACATTCAAAGGCGAACCCTACAGGCCATATTCAAGGAAACAAAGCGACCAAGCAAAGAAATGCAAACCACGATTGCCCAACAACTTAGTCTGGAAGTGTCGACTGTGGCGAATTTCTTTATGAATGCGCGTCGCCGGTCATCTGACAAGTGGCAGGATGATGATGAACCCCAACCCACTGAATCTGCCTCCCCCTCGCGAAGCATAGACCCACCATCTCCCAGCGAACCTTCTCAACCTGCACCCTCGGCTCTGCCAGAACCACCAGTGCTTCAGCCAGCCCCCGACGCGATTCCCCCATCGCAAATTTTTCTGGAATGCCTGGAACCGCCTGTCCCTCTGCCGTCCACTGTAGAGTTTACCTCTTCACCTGCCCCTCCAAGACTTACCCCTGACACGGGTGTCGCCGTTCCCGCCCAAGCCACAGTTCATATAAACTCTGGAGTTCCTTCTCAGGTTGTGCGTGAACGTCCTGTGTCCGGTGGCATTCTGGTCGCCTCTGATGGCTCGTCAGTCAGCGGCATCTCTCCACAGTTGCTGACGCATTCGCTGCAGTTACTCCCTGCGGGCCAGAACGCTATCCTGATCAACAACCCTATAGAGGGTGAGGAGGATCCTATAAGTATAGCCACCCTTCCAGGGTCATCAGCCTGCTTGATCTCATCAACAGGCATCCCTGTGTCCATGATATCTGCTCTTGATTCGATCTCACTTCCGACCGGCCTTTTCACTTCGAGTTCTCCTACCTCGGCTCAGTTGATTAGGCCCTCAAGTGATGACTGCCAGACCGTGCGTATCGCTCTTCGTGCCGGTCCCGTTGACCCCTCGCGAACCATCCAAACGCAGTCTGGTCCCACGGGTCTCGTTCTTCCGTCGGCTGCTACACTGATTGCTAACGATAGGAGTGTTGAGGCTGAGCATCAACCATCGTCCTCCGCCTCAGATGCCCCCGCGCTGTGTCGTGTTAAGCCGGAGCACACGTCGCAGGCCACTGCGTCTTCCCGTGTAGGTATCTCTCTAAATCCAAAAGGAAAGTAAGTGTCCCCTAAGTGCGAGTAGTGACTGCAAAAGTGTCAGGGGACGGCCTGATTCCTGTCTGTACTTACTATGTTCACTGTCTTCTTCAGTGTTCACTTTTAACAATTATTTGGTGACCATGCGTGTCATGTCTAACGTGCAATATTTTCTTCCTGCCGAGATGTAAGTAGCGTTTTTGTACAGTCAGACCACCTACTACAGCGTTTTTCTGAATTCCGGAGGTCTGCCATCGTGATCCCGCAAGCTGGCCTGGTTCGAAAACTGCTTGCATTTAATCATGGTTTTCATTCCCGTCTGTATGTATGTACATCCACGCACCTGACCATGCAACGGAACTTATGTTTTTGACGCAACTATCCCTCAATTTTTTGACATCTATTGCACAGAATGTATTGTAAATTATGGTGTCAATTCCATTTTTAGTGCTTTCACAGCTTCCAATTTTGTATTTGTGTAGTAACTTTCCCTCACGGCTCCTTCTACCGTTGGCGACAGTAGTGTAAGCTGTGGTCAAACTTTTGCGCCTGTCTTGCGGTTCCAGTGCTACTAAACTACACATTTAGCATACGCGGACAAGTTGATATCTTTTGTGTTGATACAACCACTTTTTCATTTATTTTGAAGCGGTCTGTTTTGTTTTATTCGACTAATATGACCAGTAACCGGAATTCTTACTTGGGGTGTTCTAAACCCGACTATAGCTAGTTGGTGCTCTTGGCTCCTCGGCCTGTGTTGTGGCTGTTTGCACGAGGTCTGGGGACGGATGGCTTTCGTACACGGCTATTTGTGCCCTTCAGCTTTTCAGTTGTGGGAGGTTTTTGGCTTATCATCCCAGTCCGTAGTATAACGTCTCAGTGGGTTCTCATACTCAAACCCACAGGTGCGCTAATACACGACCGTCCGGCCATCGCGAACGCTGATGTCCACCGTATGCCCCACGACTCGCTGGGCGCAGGGCGGCGGCCTGCACGTGAATCAGCTTATAATGGGGCGGACTTACTCGACATCTACCGCACTCATTTGGCTCCGGTGACAAGATGGTGTTAGGACGACTGGAGACGGGCTCGCACGCAGTGGCTGATAAAATAAAGTGGTCCGCACCCGCGTGCCACATAAGATCTGGTCCCTCAGAATGTATCAGGCTTACATGAGGGTGGCTCAGGTCTCGCGTGCGTGAGTGCCGCAGAGGCCACATTTAAAGGGGGGTCGTTGGAGCTGACTATCTGTTCTGAGAGGACCGAGTTGTCCCGTCAGTTGGTAGTCTTCCAAACCACGACTTTTGGCGCGTAAATGTTTGTAGTTGTAAGGGATGTTCTGATGTGCCGTTGGAGTGTATTTCCTGGTGTGGAGCTTACTCTGTCTTCCCGATCTCATGGACCCGTCCACTGTCCGGGCATGTTAGCCATCTGGTTCTGGGATTTGGATCACTGGCTGACGCGACGTGAGGGCTGCACCTAGGCGTGCCGCGACACTCCCACTCCCCACGTACGGCGATGTGTAGACTCAGGCGTACTCTGTACGGCCTGGTAAACACGGGTCCTAAGCCAACATGATCCCGTTTTGGTCTAGCACATTACCAGCATTGTGGGTGCCCCGATGGGTGGCTGATATGACCATCTTCGCGATCGTGCTGTCCCTGGCGGGAAATAGCTGAGGTTTTGGAGCCTAGCGTACCGCCCATTCACCTGTGGACACATGCTGTACTCAGTACTTTTGATGTCGCAATGGAGTGGCGCCTCCAGACCGGACCAGTGTAGGCAGTGCTTGTCGAAGGGTTCAGCCGGAATCTCACTTGTTTAGCGATGAAAAACCGACACTCGGAGAGAATCTGTTGACGGAGTGGAGGTGAGCGAGTCACTTCTGGCTCGTTTGCCGTCCCCAACCGACTATGCGTCTGAAGAACGGATGAATTAAAAGCCAACTCTCCCTCTCGTTTGCATTTGGCATGCGATTAGGGAGTATGCAAGAACGGCTATTTTAATTTCCGTCCATTTGGCAACCGCTCCTCTTCTGATCGTCTGTTCTCTGTGCGGTCAATACAAGAAAGGAGATAAGGATAACAGAGCGGCTGATTTCCTTTCGGATGAACGGTAGTCATCAAGGTCACACAACGATTACAAAAGAGCGTTTCTGCCACCGGTTTTTTACCAGCTTGGTAAACAATGTCGAATTTGAATGGTGACACCTCGAAACTCCAACGTTTTGTCTTATCCTTCTTCACTTCGTCTTTTGTCGAATACCGTAGATAAAGTCAAGAGAACACTGGTCTGTAAGGACTTTGAAATGATCATAGAGAAACTGCTTCTATATGCGCATGAATTCCACTACGTCTTACACCTCTTTATCGACAGCAGAATGGCGTTGACCACTTGGGGATAGACCACGCAAAAAGGACGCCGTTGATCGAACTTCTCGTTTGAGTGTGGCAGCACTCGCGACGTCTGGAGCGTTGGTTTCGACAACCAAAGAAATACATTGGACGGTAGCGATAGGGCTTTTTTTCAAGCCCCTCCCTAAGACCTCCAAGAACTTTATTTACCGAAAATGATAAAGTGAGTGAGTGGATGACTTATTTGAGAAATAAGATATCCGTTGTGGATAGTAGGTGAACAGTCCCACTGCTCGTTATGACTTTAGATCACGCGGTAAGCCATTCTACGCAAGGCTTTAGTCTTCCGAATCTAACTTGATATAGCCCTTGCACACCTCATAATCAGAAAGCTTGATTCGCTCAATAATGATGGCGCGTTTTGCTCCGTTGAAGGCCAGTCCCTGTCTTTCGGTCGTATCGAAGGATTCTCGAAGGCTTAGCTCGTTCTCCACCATGCTGTCTCCACGGATGGTGATATTATTTGCGTAGACAAAAAATTCTTTCAGATGCTTGCTCGCAACAATGGCGTCGCTGATTCGCGGGAGACATGCTACCCCATTGGTCGCGCTAAATAAAATCCGGCGAAACTGACACGAACGTCCACAAGCCTCAAAGGCTGTGTATGAGCGTTCCTCTGCTCTCTAGGTGTCCGGCGCTCGTAAGAGAGGCAATGCTATAGTTTTCGTAGTTCGCAGTATGGTCAACCATTTTGTATGCCTTGGGGAAGGGGTAGATATCAAGTAGTGTGTATTTGCTGATCGTTTGGCCGTGATCAACTATCTGTCGCATTTTGTGGTTAGCGTTAACTACAATCAGGACTTTTGTTCTCCAAGGGGCTGAGGAGGGCTCGATGACTTCCCCGCGATAGGCTCGCAGCCTGACGCAAGCGAAAACCACAAAAAAATAGCTTGAAGGAACCGGAAGTTATGACAGAGCAGGTCATCGGCCAGACCGACAGATCGACCTTCTTGCAAACGGCACCTACAATATGCTGGATCGAGACGAAGACAGGCTCTTGTGTGTCGCTGGTTAGAGCGGTGCTGGCCATGGATATCTTATTGTGTGATTCATTACCTTTACAGCTACCCCGGAGCACTGCGGAGGACAACGTGTAAATCCCAGATGAAATTCATATGTCCATTAAGGCTTGATAATCAAGGCTGTTGATCTCTACCTCAACCACTGCTATTGAAGGAAAATCAGGAACAACAACCGTTGCAATAGCGGAAACAGAAGGATGTGCAGAGGAAGATAGAGCCTTTCGGTTGCGTATCGTCAGATAAACTCTGGAATATCCTTCTTGACTGCGCCTTCTGCACTAGACGTCGCATGCGGGTCACTTCGAACGGGGGTGCTTATCATATGCATTAGAAACACCTGTTTTGCGTGGAACTAGAAGCTGCTCTATCAGGCACTTTATCAGGGCTGAAGAGAGTTTCGCACACCCCAGTAGCTGCAGAGTGAGGTTGTCGAGGTATTTTGATAAGACAGTGGTTGCCGTCCGACCAATCCCAATAATCTTGCCTGATAAAAAGCAGTTTGGAAGTATATTGGCCTCTGCTTCAATAATCCTTGCCTTGGTAAAAGACCATTGACGAACGCGTCTGCAATAACATCGTCACGATTTTATTTTGCCGTGAAAGCTCTGTCGCCTCAGTCGTTCGCCAAAGATCTCAGTTTTTTGAACGAACTGGTCGGGAGTTTGTCCGCCTCCTTGCCTGCATTCCGCCAAATATCAAACCAAGATTCTATTCTGAGATCCTGACTAGAGCTCAACAGCTCCGTCATGGCTGAAGCAGGCGCTGATACATTCCCAGACTGTCGTTAAAACACATACAGTAAAACCGGTCAATGTGTTCAGTTTTAGACTTTCAACCTTATCCAAAAATTGTGAGGAACGAGTGGTTTCACTGTTTGAAAATCTGAAGTATTTGGATAGACGTCAAACTTCTTCCCGTCCCGGGAAATCAATTTATTGTTAACTTATAAAGTTAATAAATTGGCGTAATCAAATGACCACAAGCACGCGATGGGAAGACTGTGAGAAAAACTGAATATAAAAATTAGGAAGATGAAGTACCACGTGATGGGTAATTATTCATCTTAAAGCTGGCTATCGGGACTAATACACAAAATGAGACAACAGTCGGTGGGATGGAAATGGTCATCAAAATAAGTTAGCTTAACATCCACCCTACTGATGAACATGGCCGGTAGTCGCGACGGGTATTTGTCAGTCGCAAAGTGCGCGAACAAGTACAAGGTCCATCACTTTTGCGTGTGTGTGTGTGTCCCCCGCGTGTAAAATCCTGGTGTGTGCATATGGGGACTCAGCCCTGGTAGTCACCTCTCCCAATCTCAGCATAACCTAATTGACCAGCTCGGACGGGTAACTGTTGCACGAGTGAGGTCCACTTTCAGAGCATAATTCTTCCCTATAGACAATCTGACATGCTTGAGACTATCACAGTGCGCTAAAAGCCGGGACTTGGAGGTCTGCCAGCTGACAGGAGGACTCGGACCTCTCAGTCAGCCCAGTGTGTGCTTGTGTGTTAAGTGGCGGACTTGTGGACTGAGGGTCAGGCTGCAATAACGTCTTCTTAATGTGGTCTCTATGGCACTCCCACTAAGTGTGACCCAAGCCATTTCTATTTTTTGGCGTAAAATCATAGTCCTTGTATGTTGTGGACGGGGGGGGGATGGTGGTGGCACGCATATGTGCGAGTTTTTGCCGTGCCAGCCATCTGCGCCCTCTCCCACCGGTCTCCTTGACTCCGCCTTGACTTCGGATCCAGGTGGGAGGGGGGGGGGAGGAGAAGGGAGTGTGTTAGCTGCTGTGCAGGTTTATTATCAGTACAAATTAACTCCCTCACAAGTCACCATCCCTGTTCTCGCCCTGCTGTGGAGTGCACGGTAGACATGGTCGGGAACGACGATCGATCTGTCGTGTATACGACCAGCTCCAGCAGGGATTTCTGCCAGTGTGGATTCCGATACCACTGCGAAACCACCGGCATGATCTTCGCGCACGCCAGCTGCAAGAGGAATGCCAGGAAATGCTAATCTACCTCTATACTACCTCCACGGACTTGACGAAAGCCTACGAAACAGTGAATCACAATAGACTGGAAAATCACTCAGAAATTCGGCTGTCATGAGCGATTCACACATATGGTGAGTCAGCTCTACGGCGGGATAGTGGCGTGCGTCACCGTAAACGGGGTCTTCTATGAAGTAGTCGCACTAATCAACGAGGTGAAGCAGGACTGTGTATGTTTCCTGTTATGCTGATGGACGCCTACCGTAATGAGCCTGTCGGGGTCCGCAATACCTACAGGACTGACGGCCATCTTTTCAGCAGTTGGTGACTACATAACTCGACGCGTCTCCCCACGACAACTATCCACGATCTGTTCTTCGCGGACGACCGCGCGTTCAACACTGTGGCTGAAGCTGACACGCAAAGGAGCATGGAACTCTTCGCCTCCGGCTGCGGCAACATCGGGCTGGCCGTCAACACAGACAAAACGCTGGTCATGCATCAACCGCCTTCCAGCGCTGCATACAGTGCTTCAAGCATCCAAGCCAACGGCACCCAGATGAGGACAATGGACAACTTCGCCCACTTAGGCAGCACCCTCCCACGCTGCATAAAAATGGACAACAAAGTGGCCCACCGGATCTCCAAAGCTAGCCAAACCTTCGGCCGGCTGCAGAACTCCGCATGAAGTCTTCACGGTCTCTACCTCGACGCAAAATTCAAGATGTTCAAAGCTGCCATTTTGATGACCCTTCTGTATGGTAAGGAGACCTGGACAGTCAAAAAAACCAAACACGGAAACCCAATCACTTTCACTTCAACTGTCTCTACCGGATACTCAAGCTGAGGTGGCAGAACAGAATCCGGAACAGAGGAGTTTTGGAACTGACTAAAATCCTCAGCATCCACAACATGCAGAGGCAACTGCAGCCACGATGCGCCGCTACTCCGTGAGGATAGACAACTAAAAAACGACTCTTAAATGGGGATGCCACCACGGGCACTCGAAGATCAGGAGATCAAATCCACCGCCACAAGGACTCCTTGAAGAATTTATTGAAGCGGCTACAGATAAATCCGTAGACTTGGGAAAACCTCGCACGGGACTAACCGGTTTGGAGAAGAACGGAGATGATCGGAACGGCTATCTATGAAGTCAACCGGATTGCTGCTGTCAAATCCAAAGGAAGAGCTTGCAAGTCTCAGGCGCCTCTGACGCGTAACGCCAACCTCCAACCCCTCCCTTTATGTCCGCACTGTTAATGAGCATTGCGCGCGCTGATCAGCCTCGCTGGACATCTCCGGACTCAATGCACCAGCTCGAAAACCCCCAACCGCGGCCTCTCCGACCGCCCCTGCCCCAGCCCCCACAGCCTTCATGACGGCCCCGACCTCCCCACCGACGCTCAACACCCGCGTCCGCCGCCGCCGCCGCCGCCGCCATAAGCCTTTTAAAAAGGAGCCACTGCACCCTGACTCTTAGGCCACCAGTCGGCCGCTCCACGCCAACACAACACTTGGCCAACCGCGAGGTCCAAGTTTTCACGTCAGTTCGCCACCTTCCAAGCCGCGGCTTATATCGCACTGTGATGGCTCCAAGCGCATCAGATTGCCTATAGCGAGGAAAATATGCAGAGCCGTCGGCCTCACTCTTCCTCCCCCTTCTGAGGCCCCACCCGCTATCCCAGCCGGTCAGTTGACAGGTGCGGGGAATGGGTACGGTGGCTGATATATCTAATGACCTTGTCTGCGCGCCATGTGCACGAACTGCCCCCCCCCCCAAACACAAGCACCAGGATTTCAGGCAACGGGGGTTGTGCGGCACACATCTGACATGCGTGCGAATGCCATAGGTCACGTTAAGAAGGATCCATTTCAGTTTGGCTCTCGGCCCATCAGTCCGCCACTCCAGTCAGACACACGTACACAACTGGGCAGACTTCGTGGGTTGGGTTGGGGCGTCAGTCGGCAGCCTTCCAAGCCACGGCGCTTGACGCACCGTGGTAGTCTCAGACTCGGATTACACATGCATTAGGGGAGCCGCATGAGGACGAAGCCGAGACGCACACTTCCCACTTGCGTGGGACTTGGCATTTGGATGCTTATGATGGGTGATGGTGTTGTGTGATGCAGGTGTGGCCGACGGTTGTCTACCGCAGGTTTTCTTGAATGCGCACGCGGACTTATAGACCCATACGGCGGGTGAATGTGCGAGTGCAGTGAGGGCCCTTGAGACGGATGCATCGGGTGTATTTTGGTGCTCCAGACACTGGTTTTCCAGTCTCTGTACGATGGATTCTCAAGAGACCGGCCAGGCCGATGCGTGAGGTGAAGGTGCGATCGCAATGAGGATAAGCATGAATCGAGTCCACCGGTGGCGGTGGTGGCGGTAGTGAGGTTGATGTTTATCGGTATGCTAGGACTGAATGCAGCGTAGGTGGGTTCAGGAGTCGTCGCAGCGGATGTTGAGGTGACGGAGGAGGATGACAGTGGGGGTTCAGGAGTGCGGCCAGTGTTTACCGTCGGTGTGGAGGGGGAGGCAAGGCAGAGGAGGACGGGGAAACATTGGGTGGTGTCGTCCGGGTGCTGCTGTTGATACGAAGTTGTCTAATGAGACCGATATGTGTTCGGAACTACGGTTGACATCGTGGGTAGGTCGGGTTCGTTGAGCTTTGGCGTTTCCAGGGGTGGGCAGTTGAGATTTGCGAGATTCGCGTTTGGATTTGGCGGTGATGATGCGTTTGGCTTCATAGATCGCTACGCCTATCTTCACTGCTCTCCACCAGTTCGATCCCGGGCAAGGCATTCTTAACTGGCCGGGCCGCTTTGCAGGCGATTCAGGAAATCTTCAGGGTATCCCTGTAGTGCCGGACTTGGCCACCTTGTCGGCGGGAACCCCTGGCGACATCTCCATAGAAGAATCGCTTGGGTGACCGTTCGTCGTTCATGCGCATAAGACGGTCGCTCCAACGCAGTTGCAAGTCTCTCAGCATGGCGTAGATTCTGGGGAGTCCCGTCCGCTCCAGTACATCCGTGTCGGGGATCCGGTCCTGCCACCTCAGCTTCAGTATTCTGCGAAGACAACTGAGGTGGAAGTGGTTGAGCCTCTGCGCCTGCTCCTTGTACACCGTCAAAGTCTCTGCTTCATAAAACAGCATCGGTAGGATGACCGCTTTGTAAATCTTCAGTTTGGTACTGATGTGAAGACCGTGTCGATTCCAAATTGCGTTTCGCAGACGGCTAAAGGCTTGGCTGGCCTTGGAGATCCGGCGGGCCAATTCGTCGCCGACTTTGGTGCTGTGAGAGAGGGTGATGCCCAGGTAGGTGAAGTTGTCCACGACTTTCAGTTGATTTGGAGTGCGTCGGAGGCAGTGTCGGATGACGATTGATGCGTAACCACCGTCGCAGGCGGTGGCAAAGAGGTTCATGCTCCTTTGCATGCCCCCTTCAGAGATGGCGTTGAGGGTGCAGTCGTAGGCGCAGAGAAGTTTGTGGACAATGGTTGTGGATACACGCGAATGGAAGTTCACCCATCGGTGGTTGACGAGTTGGCTGTCCATCCTATAAGCGGCGCGGATCCCCAGGCCTTCGTCACGGTATGTGTTCAGTAGCATGGCAGAGAACATGGGACTGAAGAGGGTAGGCGCGAGGACGCAGTCCTGTTTCACTCCTTTGGTCCCTGCAAATGCCTCTGAGGCGACGCCATTGAGACAGCTCGATTGTCCGTGACGCGCGCCGTCATGCCATCGTGGAGATAACGCACCATCTGAATGGATCGTTCGATACAGCCGAATTTCTGCACGATTTTCCTCAATCCTTCGCGGTTCACTGTGTCGAAAGCTTTCGTCAGATTAATGAGGATAGAGAAGAGGTGAATCCGCAACCCCTGAGACTTCTCCTACAGTTGGCGAGTGGCAAAGACCATGTTGTTGACCCTGCGATGACGGCGAAACTGCACTAGTTTTCCGGCAGGAGACCGCGTTCCAGATGGTTGTTCAGGCAGTTGAGAAGGATGCGAGCGCAGATCTTCCCAGCGGTGCTCAACAGGGAGATGCTTCGGTGATTATCGCAGAGTTGGAGACTCCTTTTCCGCTTGTAGCAATGGGAGATTGAGGCATCCTTGAAATCCTGGGGGACTTGTCCCTGACGCCACATCCTCTGAAAGTTGTGGACCACCGTGCTTGTAAATCCTAGAAGGGCTCGCGTCCGATCTGGGCGCTTTCTCGATGGAGAACCGTTTCACGGCCTTGATGATTTCGTGGAGAGAGGGCGGGAGGTCGAGGTTGAAGTTGGTCTGTATTTGAGGTAGACGGGCGATGGCGGCGTCGGAGATGGCAGAGGGACGGTAGAGGAGGCCTCTGAAGTACTCGGCCAATCACTACAGGATTTACATTTTCTTAGTGGGCAGAGTGGTTCCGTTGACGTTGTGACGAGGAGCAGTGCCTTTGGCCGTGGGACTGTAGACAGCCTTGATCGCGACGAAGATGTTCTTTCATTCGTCGCGGTCCACATACCCTTGGATCTCCATGGCCTTGCGAGCCTTTCAGGCCTCCTGCATCTCCCGCAGCCGCTGTTATACAAGGCGGTGACTACGGTAAAAGGCTGATTTGTTGTCGTCAGTAGTGCGATTGACAAAGGTTTGTGCAGACGTTTCCTCTCGTCTGTCGTCCAGTATATTTATATAACATTTAACCACTAAAGGCCAGTATTGGTAAGACGAAAAAACGAAAGTGCAGCACTTTTAAAATGTTTCCGACAACAAGGTTAACAAAGCTACGCCCTTTTGCCTAGTATTGCACGCTGTAAAATTTCACTCTTTCCTATTATGAAAGGTATCACAATCGTAGAGCTCAGGACCAAACAACCACACCGGGCTAACGGAGGCCATACGGAGACAGCCCGACGGCGAGTTTACTCGGTGAAGAAGAACAAGAGCCGCCAGACCGACCACCCGACATTGGTTCAATCACCTCCCCCCGACGGAGTGGTGACTCACGAAGCACGCAGACAAAACGCCCGTCAGTCATCGTCCGAGAGACCGAGACAGCCAGAGGAGAGAAAAATCGATCAGCACGAGGCCGACCAACGTGACACGCCACCTGGGACTACTGGTCGATCAAGTGCATTTTACGCTTCGATAATGGAGAGCCGACCAAGCTCTTCGAAACGTCAGCATCTAAATAAACCTGTTCCAGTGAGCCCTTCTTCTTCTTCTTCTTCTTCTTCTTCTTCTTCTTCTTCTTCTTGAAATAATCAACCGGGATCTCTCAATTTTGTCAACCTGAAGGCCATACACTCAAGGCAACATTATGGAGCCGCACCTTCAGTTCAGGGATGATACTGCCCTTGGGAGCCTGCGATGCACTGCAGACAGCGAGGGATGAGCAAACGTCCGCTGCACAGGCATGATAGCCGCTAATCGAGGAGTCTTACCGATGTAGTCGAGGGAGCGACTACAATGACCATTTCTGACTCACTTGACGTCACCAGTTTGCCCCCCCCCCCACAACGCGCAAGTCACCGTGCCTGCGCCGGCCATGCTGTGGGGCACACGGCGGACATCGTCATCCGAGATGGCGGGACTGTCGTGCCGTCCGCAGCCAGCCACGTCGAAGCCCCAGGTCGGTGAGACCCGTGCGCCGAACCCGCCGCGGCGCTGGCTATTGATGATGGAATCCAGTGCCCACAGTAAGTTATCTAGTTCAGGAAATAGGCGCAAATTCGTAAACCATCCTTACAGCTCGAAAACCGACCCAGTTGCTTAGACCTAAACACCCGTTTAAAAAATAAACTACTCTAAGGTAAATGAAAACAATATTACGTCGAATAGAAAGGACAAGTTTTTGTCGAAAAGTTTAAATTATCATTTGGCAAGGACCTTTCACAGTTATTTGAGAAAGGTTTGTATAGATTCGGCAATGATGAGTGGGATAAGATAGAACACTGCCTGAGGGTACAATTACCATGTTTACAGTCCATATCAATTGCTTGGAGGCTGCCTAATGTTCCACACTACACCCACACGTCATTTAGCGAATTCCTTCTCGGTTGCGCAGTTGTGTACACTAGCAGTAGTTGTCATGCTCCCCCCTCTGGTTTTCCTGAACGATGTATTGGACCCGATGTCATCTTCAGCAGGACTTTGGTTTATGTGGGCACTTTGCACGTGCCTAACTTTCGATTATGACTACAGGTAATGGGGGGATGTTTAATGCCAACTCGGATTTTCCGTGGGTTGGTATTCGGCAGTTTGGGTTAGCATGAACCACTGTTGTGAGCATATAGAAATCTGTAACGAGAATGCAGACTTGCGGGTCTGTGTGTGGGTTGGAATGCTGAGAAAGAGCCATTCACCTTTACGGGATGGTGAGAATCAACCTTTATGCCTACCTGCGCGCAATAGAGCATTCCTCGTCAGCCTCCCTGAACCACGCTCCTATGAGGGGGTCAACGAGACTGCAACACTGGCAGCAACAAGAACTCGTCAACCTCGTTGTTTGGCAGACTAAAATATAAGAACAGGCAGTAAACCCAAACTACTCCGGGGATTACAGCTCACGCATAGGTCTACCATCTAGACGAATATAATCAATGACAGGCGGTCGAGCCGTCACAAAAGCCGAACAGCCATATCTTAGAGTGAAAGAAGAACCAGACGAGACGCAAAAGCTGTTCGATAGACCATTGGGCCCTTTTGAATCTACAGTCGTATGAACTAAATATACACCCTGAAATTGGATAAATACGAGGACAAAGTGGTGAGGGGGGGGGATGGGTGGGTACTTTTCATGATCATAACCGACACCAACCTAAAGTCACTTTTATCGCCTTCACATCTATATCAAACAGGAACAGCAGCATCAAAAGGGCCACTCCCGGGTCCTGCGGCGATAGGTCAGCATAGGAGCGACAGGTGTACCGCGCTTCAAATGAGACTTTATGCATTTGCCCTCAGCTAAAGTTGCTATGGAGGAATAAGTAGTAAAGGTTCTCTCTTATCTCGGATGTTTGAGCCTTTGGGATGATGAAACGGTTCAGATGGAAGTCAATTGTTGTGGTCAAGCATAGATAAAACTTCTAATACAGTCGGTCCCTTCCCATATCGACCCACCTGATGGAATTCTCATGGGCAGTTAAACAAACGGATTGGTTTTCGAAATTATGACTGTTGAGAGTTTGCTCGCTGGGATTACTCCACTGATTAAACCTTGTTGTTATTCTTCCTTTCTCAGCAAAGTTGGGATTTAGGCAAAATTTGAATCCGGGGAAGATCTGATGGACGAAGTAGCTGTTACATCTCAATCATCCTTTTTATTGCATTGTACCACATAAAATCCCTCTGTTCGTGACGATTGGCAACTTTGCTTTAATCCTAATTTTCAAAGTTTACTGTGCGAAATTTTCGCTTTAGAGATCTGAGTTAGTCAGAAGCACACCAGGAGATCAGCAATCCTCACGAAGCACGTGCTACCCTTCAGCTGATGAATCACCAATAGCACCAACGGTGGCACTTTGGTGTTTTTTATCGACTAGGCTCTTACATTCATAACCGAGCCTCAGGATTCTTAAAAAACGTTTCTATTTGCCTTTCTCTCCCACTGGCTGCTACACTGTCGCCTAACGCGAACGTATGTGCGGCGTTAGTGTCTTTCAGGAACTATATTTAGACTGTTTGAGCGGTTTTAGATCTCACCTCACCTAATCTCTTCTTCCTCTTCCTCCCTCTGTTAGTTTGAACATCACTCCTTGTCTTCATGTCAACAAATTTTCAGGACATGAAATGACGGCTTATCTTACGACGGCGATTGCAGCGACGTTGGGCTCGACGAGCTACTTGAGACGAGTAAACAAGTGAATACCAAACACTTCAACTAACTTTAGGGCAGAAGTGTGCGTAAAAATCGAAATGTCGAAAACTGGCAGCGGAAAGTTCAGTAAGGGCAACATGAAGCGGAGTCCAGCTGCCCACCATGGTATCCAGTTTGAGCTAATGGAAAGACTTACCCTCAGCACGCTTGGGCGTTACAGGATCAAATTAGATAACACGCGACAGCAAGTGAGTTTGGGGAGTAAAAAGTTAAAACACCCTGAAAAGCAAAGGTTATGATACAGAACGCAGCTGCATCAGAGGTGTGGCGGCAGCGGATCGTGAATCCCACTCGTTTCTAAGTTTGATGCCTGCAAAAACACCACCAAATAGTCATTTTCAGTTTCGAACATACGGAACATTACGTTTCGTATGGTCTAGCTTCTACGGTTGGTTAATTTGGAAATGGAACGAGGAAAACGTTAACGGTTTCAGCAGAATATGAGTATTTACATGGTCACTACGCAATGCATTTATAATCGTAGAACGCAGATTAAAAGTGAACAAAGACAGTGAGAATAGACGTAATATAAAGAGAAAGGCATGTTCCTACGTTCTCGGTAGAAAAATAGCAGTACTTCTTAGTAATGTTCAAGAAAAGACCAAAAGTGTCAAATATTTCCTTGACTTCGCCGTGTAAAATGCCAAGTACACAGACATCCGTCAACGGAATGCAGTACTAAAGCGCTCCGTAGGAAGGTAACTTATTAGAAAGAGTTTTCGTATGGATCGAAACCATATTCCTTGCTGTCTTTTGTT